TTACAGGGTATTTCGCCTTTGTGCATTACATCTCTTGAGTTATTTAATATGCACTTCATGTAATACAGTACAGTATGGTTAAAAAAGAGGAAAAATATTACTATCTACAAATCGGCTATAGCAGACAAGCCTAATTCTAGTCTCATATAACTATGGAAACAATGATATTCTGTTGGCCAGAGGAGGAGTAGATTCAGTGCTGATGGATATTTTCTCCTTGATTTCCATTCAATTCTGCTTAGAATAGCTATTTTGTTTTGCACAGGTACAAACTTCATCTGTTTCTTGAAGTAGAAACTTCAGGCTTTCCACATATAATTAACAATAACGTTCTGTAACACTGACTACAGCACATGTTCAAACCAGAAATCTGGGAGAATGGCCGTTGGTAAGAGACCCAGCTCAGTTAAAGTGGGAAGCCTGGAAACATCTGGAAGTCTACTTTAACAGTCCTGATTTTCTTCTTTTCCCTCTAAGTATCATTTTTTACAGCTGCTTTCATTCAAAATCCAGGTTCGGGTGGCCAACAGACCCCATAGGGTAGAAGTAAGCAAGTCCAGAAGCTATATTTACCCAGCACAACTCCTTTTTCCACAAGAGAATGATCTGGTTCCCAGCTGAAAGGTAACTGCATCAAAACTTTCGCAAAAGGTCCCGCTTCGTTCTCAGCTGTCCTTGAGACAAATTTCAGCTTCTCAGGCAGGAACACCACTGTCATCTTATGAGAAAAGAGCCCATGGAATAAAGTAACTAATTCCTCGGCAACGGAAAATGACTACTGTTCTGCAAAGAGCCTATTCATTTTTGATATTTGGTGAGTTTCTAGGACTATGCACTAGATTAATGAGATTCTGGCTACTTAACATGAATTATTAGGCATTTAAGGGCATAGATCCCTTTCACAATGACTCCGTGGACCTTTTGTGAGGCATATATATCATTATTAAATGCTCTATTAGGATGTTCCTTGAAAGATTGCCTGAAATCTTTATCCTCCAGTCTCCTGAGTTTTATGTAATATAATTTGTATAGGTGTCTTCATTCTACCACATATGGACATTAAAAATCTTATATGGGATTTGATAATGGTGCACACTCTGCCAGCTTAGCATATCTTAAAAAAAACCCTGTAATCTTTCTACTGTAAGCAGTTGTTTAGAATCAGGCAAACCTATTGGAAGAAACTGTGATCTATCAGTGTGATATGATGCTAGCAACAGAATGAAGGTAAAAGCATAGAAAGTAAAACTGTTCTGTTCGACTATACTGAAAATATCAAGTTGTGAGTCTGCATTCTTCATTAAGAAACACTTTTATTGTTGAGAATCTTTCATGTAATTGGAATAGAATCTAAATATTTCAAATTTCCTGTTGGACTAATTTTTATCTCTCTCCGTTTGTCACTGATGGTTGATCTGTGGCAGGTGAACAGGAATAGGATCTGGATGTGATCCTGGGAAATATGTTCTAGGTGACCCTGCTTGAGCAGGGAGGTTGGACTAGACGATCTCCAGAGGCCCCTTCCAACCTAAACCATTCTGTGATTCTGTGAATATCAGAAGTACAGGAATACTGCCTTACAGCTTACACTGCTGGACTGACAATCTTTTACTATTGTGCCACAGCTCCTGAGGTGTTGACAATGGATCACTTTGTAGGTTTATCAGCTCAGGAATGTGGAATTTCAACATACAATAAAAGGTATTTAGGTTCCTTATGAATAGGAAATTGGAAATTACATCTATGTGGTCATAGTATTCTAGGAAGCTAATCAAACAGTCAGACATACCACAGCTGAAATGCATATGCTGGAGGAACCTGGGACAGAGAAGAATAAATCTCAGAACTCCATATTGTCTCATTTTTTTCTGTGATTCTTCAGCTTAGAAGGCTGAATTTAAGGGTCTTTCATTATTATATTTTTATTTTTCTGCTCATTGACTATCCCTTTCTCAATAGTTAGAAGGTGAGAAAGCGTTCTTCTCTTTGGCAGATCATCTGGACTATATAGCATTTCTGCAACAGGTAATATGAAATAACACAGAGAAGACAGAGAGAGGAACATTAACAGAAGAATTTGGTGCAACAAAACTCATCCACAAGGAAGCTGGAGCAAAGCACATTCCTTTCCTTTTTACCTATTGTTTCTGTTTTCTGAATGTTCAGAGTAAACAATGATATCCTTTTTTGGCACTGAGATACACCACAAAGCCCATAATGGCAATTCAAAGGGAAATGCACAGTAATTTTACGGGATTTAGCGTTTATTTCAATTTAAAACGTATCTTTACTGTAAAAAAGTAAAAATAAAAAAAGTGGAATGAATCTAAAACAAATAGTAGTAATGATAACAATAACTCTGCCGGAGACAGCAACAGTTTCAGCTGATTTCAGTGGACCATTGAAAATCATCTGTCCTGAAGCTCTTTTGCCTTTTTTTTTTTTATGGAAAGTATTTTTAGGGTATTTTCCTTTTGCACAAATGCCTCACTCAATAAGAAAACTTTATAACTGTGAACCTATCCTACAAGCTCTCATCTATATAATTCTCCTCTTACTCCTGATCCTATAAACCCTTTTCTATTTGACTTTGCTTAACTTGCAGGAATAAAATAAAATGGAGAACTGTCTCCAAACAAATGCTAAAGCAGCTGCAGAAGAAATCAATGTTTTATTAAAAAAGACTCAAACAAAAAAGTATCAAACTAGAAATAACATAGAAAAATATTTTTCCTATCTTTCAATTAGAGCAATCTTTGTTTTTTAAATGATGCTTTTTCTAAATGAAATGACCTTACAGTAGTTTCAGAAAATTTAAGATCATTTACATCCTGTTTTATATTGTCTTTTAATGCCCGTAAGATGAGAAGAAAATAGTGTCTGGCATCACTGCTACACAGAGGTCTATCTAAAAGCCTTTGCATTTGTTCTCATACAATAGTCATTGTAAAATGATCTCACTGCCCATGGCTGGGAAGTTCTGAAAGATTAAGCAGTCTTCATCTAGCAGAATGCAAGGCCCAATTTTCCTCCTTTTTAAGGCCTCCTGCACTGTACACTTACTACAAAATCCCAACTTGCAATACTGTTGCTTTGTAAAAGTATAATGAGAGGATTCAGAGCAGCCCTTTTAAGTCGATTGCATTGCATGATTTACTGTAGTTTGTTGGAAAGCAGTTCTCATTATACTGTGTTTTATCATGGCTATTAACATTATCGGTGGGTACTTGATATAAAGATTACTCTTGTATAATGAGCATGATGAAAGGCCTGTTTGTGTCTCTCATATCAAGCGCACTGAAGATCTCTTGCAAACTAATTACCTTTATGAGAGCAGCTTGCAGATACAAAACACTCTAATAACCTGAGCTCATATTTCTTGCTTTGCATGGAAATACATTCTAACCTTAGCCTTAAATGAACTATGCTCTAATTTACACCTAAATATATACCAAGAATAACTCCTCCAGCACCAGTGCAACTTTGTACAAACCCAGGGATCTTCCCAAACAGATCTAATTGAGTGTCTGAGGCCTATAATTGTTAATTCAGCAACATGATTGTGCTAGTGAGTCGTCTGGTTACTGTTACAGATCAAAAACTACACATAATTAGGACTAATTTTGTTCCTCATCCCGATCTCATACTACTGTGATCTGATGGATACTGATTTAAAGGAAGACCAGTTTTAGACCACAAATGTCACCACGGTACCTAGCCAAGACCCTTATTAGGTATTGTACAAAGACCAACTGACATTACTTGTTCTCTGAAGTAGACCCAAAGCAATTAAATACAAGGCCATATGCATATAATATGATAAAGTAACATCATTGTCCTGGTTTAAATACCGTTGCGCCAAATCAGAGCTGGTACTCTTTAAGGTATTTTGGTTTTATACAATGAACTGCAAATGAAATAAATCCATATCTGGACTAAAGTCATTCAACTGATGGTAAGCCTTCTCTCAGTGCTACGCTCTGAGTTTTAAGGTTTCTCTCTCAGGAATGATACCTCTCTTCCTCATCTTGAGCTACCTGCAGCAGATACTCCACAACAACAACAAAATAACAGGAAAAGATTTTCAGGATCATGCTGCCCAACGTGTAGCAAGAGCAAAAGAAGAGAAATGGAACAGGCCTATGGGAGAAGTAATGAGGTTATGTGGATTAGAACCTCACTACCTGAATTAGGCGATGACTCTGGCTTTAAAAGTAGCTTGTTCTACAAACTGTAGATTAATAGTCTGGATACTAGTAGTATTCGCCAGGCTGCTATTCAGTCACTTTAGAGGAGGACAAGAAAATGACTTTTACACCCTAGTATAAAAAATTGTTTCTCACACAGGAGCATATCATTAATGGGAACGGGCATGATGGTGGCAGAGAGAGCTAAAATAGCAATTATGGCTGGCAAGGGGGAATCAGCAGAGCAGAAAGACAGAGAGGCCTTAATGGCTTTCAGTAAGAGCTCAAACAGATTAAGTAGAGAAGGCGAAGGCATTGAAGGGCTTGAGGAGGCAGGTTTGACAGGAGAATAAGCAGCTATGAAGATGATTTTGGCAGAAAGTGTGTGTGCATTCGTGCATTCAAGAAGAAAAGAGAAGGCTGTGATGAGGAAAGATGAGGGAAAAAGGAAAAGCTGTTTGGGCAGTGGAACAAGGTCTTGGAAACAGCTTGACAGGAGAGCAGAGAGGAGCTCGATGTGTGGGGTGATGGAGAAAGCAGTCACAGATGACTATTTTTTTCTAATTTGGTAGGGTAAGAGGACAGTAATACTTCCAGTAGTGACAGAAAGGTAGGAATGCAGAGCGGGCTATGATTTCGGCCATGAAAGATTTAAGATAAGCTCTTCAGGAGGAAGCATCAGAAAGACAGTGATGTAGGAAACGGATGAAGGGAGGCTGCCAGAGTTAAAAACAAATAAATAAATAAAAATTCAGGGCTATGGCTGACCTTTTCTTGCATCTGTGTTTCAATGCCAAGCAGATAAGCAAGCAGTATCTTTTTCCATATTAGATCATAACATTTCTATCTTTTCCCACCTTAATTTCAGGGAAGAGGAGAAAGACATAGAATGAGCAGTGTTGTGACAAAGGTGCTCACACCGTTACACTTCAATCTATAGATTTAATATACTTGTCCAGTGTATCCCTTACCACACAGGTCTCTCTGCCACCATCTTGCCTGTTCTCATTAATGTTATGCTGCTACGCAAGAAATAATTTTTACCCTTCATATTCAGCCAGGCTGGGGTTTATCCTGTTTTTCAAATTTTGGACCATGCTTCAGGTCCACACATATAACACGCTCCAGCACCGAGACACTGCCTAAGAATTTCCTTCTCAGCTTCAACTAACAGCACACATGGCAGTTCACATAGCTTATGTCAAAGCAAGTCAGAACTCATTACGAATTAAAGGGTGGCCATATACTGTTTTCTTTAGGCACTCAATTAAAGGCAGGTGTCTGGCCCCTCATCAGTTGTAGGTGGTCTTTTCCTCCTGGGTTGTTTTTCTTTTCTTGGTGGTGACTCAAGTGCTTTCTTCACTTTCGAAATCTGTAAAACAACCCACAATCATTTTGTAATATTCTCTCTAGTTACATGTGCAAAAGTTTCCAAGTAACAGTCAGGACTTGGTAAGTCATTTTTCTTACTCCTTCTCCTAGGTGCACATTTATTCCAGATTCCTAATGGTGGTTAGTGATCTCAAAAGAAACAGAATAACAGATGCACAAGTGTAGATGGCAGACACGCCAATTTTCCATTGATGAGTTCAGAGGACACTGTAAATTACGCCTGCTGCCAGAAGACCCCAGAAATGGAACAGTCAATCAGATGATTCCTGCTTTGTTTATCTTACAGTTTAAGGACTTGAAATTTAACCCTTCCCTCTATCCCTTCCTCTCAACAGAAAAGCTGAGAAGGCACCACACGTTTGGATTTAGCTGCTTTCAGATGTAATTGCACAAAATTCTCATTGACTCTGGGATCTTCGCCAGAGTACATGCTGACAGAAGATAGCATAGCCCTTGGTTTGATAATGGCCTTACCTTTTCTTCAGTCATCAATATTTTACATTAAGTAGTCTAATCACAGGGTAATGTTGTTAGTCTGAGTGTCAGACATTGCAGAGATCCAGGCTTGGCTTTCACCTAGTGCAAAAAACAAATCAGAAGATGCTCATAAGATTATGTGACTAGGCTCTTGGAGAAGCATAGACAATCACCCAGCCTCTACTAACCACTAGCTGTAAGGAAAATCTCACTTTCAAATGGTTTGTTTACACATACCACCTTATTAGAGATGACCTCCCTCCTTCCTTTGGGAAAAAAATTCCTCTTCGAGAAACAGCCATTCACTTACAGTCCAGCCATATCACACTTATCTTAAATAAAAAATGCAAAGACCTGCAAACATCCTACTACCCATTTTAAGCAGTGGCGCACAAGAAGATTTAGCCCAGTCTTCATACAGCTGTGTCTCGCAGGAAATGGTGCACAGGCCTGTTTCCCTCACCTTGCCCAGCTCCCGTGTGGGCAAGATCAACGGCAGTTCATGCTTTGAATTGGAGAGCTCGCCCCTACAAAGCTGCGTCAGCGCACCGCTAAGCCAAAGAGAGTGGGCCGGGAAGGGGTAGGGAGGTAAGGAAAGGAGAGGAAGAGCCTGGCTGCTTGTCAGGGGTTTCCAGATGGCGGGGAGACCAGCTGGGGCAATAGCTGAACCGAGCTGCCTGACACCCAGAAGTCCAGGACAAATGGCTGCTGCATGTGCACAGTATGTCCAGAATACATTAGATTTGTCATGCATGTGCAGACCATCTGTGAAGCAAATGCTCAGTAGGCCCAGTTGAGCTGAGAGAAAAATATGAGGGGCCCTGCAGAGCACAACTGTCACCGGAAAGTGGCTCCCTCCTGAACTGGGTGAAGAAGGACTCTGTCCCTCTGCGGTAGCCATACCACAGCATTTCAGTGTCAGATAGTATTAAAGGCTTTTCAGTGACAGTGGGACCACAAAAATATTACATACAGCCATGCAATAAGATGGATTATAAATCAAGCCCACAGAAGAGAGCTGTTTTTGAAAGCAGGTAACTGCATACACCAACAGCGCATTTAGGCAAACTAAAGTAACCATTTGCTTTTGCCATTCTTCGTATAATGCCAGCTGTTTGCCAGTGAAATATTAATCTTTCATGGCCTCCTTTCATTATATGGCACTGATGGAGTGTGAGGAAAGCACATCCAGTAATCTGTTTGTAATTGAACCTGTAACTACTGCTACTTAGAATTCTTCAGGAACTGATTTTAATGATTTTATATTACACAGTCACAGAGCCATAGAAAAATTAAGTTTGGAAGGGACCTCTGGAGGTCAGGTAGCCCAAACGCTAGCTTAAAAGCAAGGCTAATTTCAACTCTACAAAGCCCTAAGGCCTTGTTCAGATGAATTTTGAAAAACTCCAAGGACAAAGACCCCATGGCCTCTCTGGGCACCCGTGCCAGTGCTTGGCTGCTCTCGGGCAAACTAGGACTTCCTTCATTGCAGGCTGTGACTGTTGCCTCTTACCCTTTTGTTGTGCACCTTGAGAGTTATTTGTCTGTCTTCTCTGCAACTTCCCTCTTAGGAAAAAGGGAAAAATTTTCAGTGACATTCATATCCTGCTCATTTTTTCTCCACAAATTAAAGTCTTTTACTATTGCCTCATTCTTTCACAATTAGCAATAGGTTGTTGCATGGCTGCATTTATCATTTCACACACAGGCCCGGCCCATTTCTCCCCTGTACTGCAGTAAACTGAAAATTGAGAAATATGAATAGAGAAGCATTCCTAAATATTAGAACAACAGACACAAACAATTTTAAAACTTTTAAGTAATAACTATTTTAAGGATAATACTGGTATGGATTGAGCAAACTGCTGCACTACCATCTCCTTCAATCTCTCTTTCTCCTTTCTCCTTGCATAGTATTGCACAGACACATAATTTTTCTCACTCTTTTATCTTTGAATTATAGACAGGAAAACGGAACATAGATTTTTGCTACCTCACAGGAACGTAGTTAGAATAAATACAAAAATCGCTCTGTGCACACCTCAGAGAAAAATGTTCCTTAATGAAAGACTTTGTGCATTATTTTAGAATCGTAATATCTTTCCAGAATTCAGTTAGGAAAAGTTTCAAAGGGGCCAAAGGCATACATCAAACTACCACTTAAATACATTGGAAATTAAATAACTATTGGCTATTTGTCTCTTTGAAAATCTTCTTTCTCTAGTTAAGATCTTTGAACTGGTCTATATCCATCACTAGTGGCAGAGTAGCATCAGAACCTTTTTATTATCCTCACTAAAAAATTACCACCTCTTTAATTCAGATAAGCCCTCTCAGATAGTCGATAAAACATGCCTGCTTTAGATTTCATAACATGACAATTCTGCATCATGATGCAAAGGCATTGACACAAAGGCCTTACCCTGCTAGTCCTTTCAGTTTGTTACGTCAGAAATGTCAAGATGAAAATGACGCCATACTAAACATGCAGCTTTATCCTCTTAAACAGTTGGAAAAAATGTATTGCAACTTGTGTTAAGCAAAGGCTTGTTTTTGTTTCTCTCTATGTATAGAACCTACACGTGTATACCGTGTATACGGAAAGTGTAAATCCCAGGGGGATCATCATAACTGCCCTTTGGTACTGAATTTCTGTAGTTTGTCTTTGCTTGAAATACCCAACTACCACTTACTTTATCTTTTAGTGAATTTCTAATTAGAATTTTTATTATTTTAATGATTTTCTAATTTAATATTTTTCTAAAAGAAACTTCAACACATGACTGACTTGCTAGATATAAAGATATGTGCTATAAATAATCTTTAACAAATATTTTCTTGGAGAAAAAAGTATGAGAGTTCTTTCTGCATCTGTGATGCATGCATGACAAATACTCTTTCTCATCTTAGAAAGATAGCAATGAGGGAATGGCTCACAGAAAAGCACCACAAGATGAGACAGAAGGGACTCATTTTTATGCGGTCTTCGTTAGTAATCTTTATAACACAGTTATAAGTGCCCACGCTGAAATGCAGACATCCCTCAGGTTACCAGAAATGTTTTAAGTAAGAACAAAAGTAGGAAGCAGGTAAACAGAGACTATTTACACTGTACTAGAGACAAGTAATAAGGTTGTAATGGACAGCTATAGACAGGTAATGACATAGTGACTAATGAAAAGAAACAGGAAAAAGCAATTGGAAAATTCTCTTCCGTATTCCTTCTATGAACGATTGGAAGGAGAAAAAAAAAAACCATGCTAACTGGAAAAAGTGCAAAACTTGAAGGTGTCTGACATCTTTCCTGTTATGGCAAAAGGAATGGGAATCTGGAAGCAAGCAAGAGGGCAAGAAATAAAGCCGCAAAATAACCGACTTGTTTACTAGGACGATCACACCAGAGGCATGAGCAGCAGGACTGGAATGGAACAGGACGGTCTGGCCCCGGCCAGCGCTCCAAACCCACAGCCTCCTCGCAGGAGTGACAACACCCTCAACCAATACCATCCCAGACAAAAATATAACCTCAGCACGCTTCCCACTGCCCGGTGAGTAATGCCGAGCACGGGCCCATGCAGCTCCTGAGACTGGATTAACTGTCTTGTGGGTTTCCTTTTCTGCTTTCCCTTTTGTTTTCAGTTTCCCTCCTGCTGCTCGGATGGTTAGATGCTTCCCGAACACTCCTGCACTTGCTGATTCCTCAGTTACCTCCTACTGAGGCAGATGCTGCAGCACGAGAGCACAGCTGAACTGTGATCATAGCTGGGACTGCACGTCATGGAGGTGCACCCAGGCCAGCGAGGGTGCTGCTGGCAACACTGCTTTAACTGTCCCGTGAGCAGTCTGGAAATCATTCAGGCACTTTGCCCACTCCAAACAGAAGATGCAGAACTTCTGGCAGGATGGTTTCCTACACTCACTTTGTCTCCACTTTCTCTTTGTTTTTTTTTCTCCTGTTTTCTTATATTATCTCTTTTCTTCCCCTTTCCTCTTTTCTGATCCCAGTATCTCTTTGCTCACTCCCTGTTCTGTGCTCACTGTGCTGTCGCTGTCTTTTTGTACTTTTCCTTTCTTCCCCCATCTTATTCTTTCTCGCTTTCTCTATTTATCTCTCCTTTTGCTTTATTCATTCATCTCTGCTGCAATTCCTCCTGTGCCTTTTTTGCCTTTATCCTCACATCTCTCCCCATGAGATGCTTCTTCTCTTTTGCATGTTTTAAAGATCACTTTTCATGGCTATAAACAGCAAAATACTAGCAAAAACACTCAAATAGTCTAGAAAGGGTCAGGGGATTTTAAGCATCCGAATCTCTTCTTCTCAAGAAGGCTCTGGCTCACATCTGCCCCATGATAACTGCTGATGAGCACTACGCTGAAGATGATGGACAGGGGGGCACAGCACCGTATGCGCTCCCACACGCTTTATCCTTCTTTCCTGCTGGCTGTGAGGGGGTGCTGAGATGGGCAAAGCACAAAAGCAGTGAATTCGGCTTTCTGAGAGTGAGTATGGCAAAGCCACTCATGGCACTAGGGCAGATCAGTGCTCAGATACTCATCAGCTGAGTCGGGGAGGGAAAGTTCAAAGAAGGGCAGCGTCTACAATCGGAAACATGTTTTGGGCCCGAGGACTAGAAGAGTTAAAAATAGGAACATGTGGGCCTAGTTACAGAACAAAGGAAAAGGGGCTAGAAAACGGAACAATTTGGGGAAATGCTGAACAGTTGATCACCCAGTGTATTGCAAACAATGTCAGATGCTGCTCCTGCTTTCCTTACGGAAAAGATCTGAACCAAGCAACAGATGACCCGCACTCCTTGCATGGGAATAAAATGCACAGATGAGTGAGAACATGGGATGTGCACTTGACTTTTGCATGGAAAAAATAGGAGTTAACTTTGTCCTTGTAGAAACTGCAGAGGCACAAGGACTAGAACAGCCTTCAAAGTCCACAAAACACAAAACCTGCAGACACGGACCTGGCCTGTCTCTTTGAGCAAATCAGTTCCTACCTTCTTTCTCAGGCCTTCATAGCCTTGCTCACCCTTACGTTGCAGAGAGTAGAACTGGCTGAATTTTCCTTGGGTTGCTTCAACTTTATCAGGTTTAATGCAATATGTATTTGAGCAATAATAAGACTTTGAGGAGTGTTGAGTTCAGTTGTGCTGGCTCCTTTGGGATATGATGCCTGGTCATGCATATCTGTATGCTAACTCTAGACATTGAAACTCTGAAATAATCAATACAGTCAAAAATTGGTGGCAGTTGTATTATGGTTTGAAAACACAGTGGCCTCACGGTGGCAGACTCCAGCCAGACTTCCTTGTGGCTTGGGCCTAATCCTGTTTTAGGGCCCAGATTTCATGACTCATTTACATTTGCGTGTTTTGAACAGCCTCCATGCTTGTACAGATGGTGGAAGATTGTCTCAGCTATGAGACAAAGAAGAAACCTACCACTGTAAATTAGTGGCCAGACCAAACGTGGAAATGACTGGATCAGTGTATTAAACTGCTGCTTTCCTTCTTCTCCCTCTGATTCTAGTAGGGAGTGTTTAAACTTCCATGTGGCGCTACGCACTGCTGCCAGACTTCAACTGGATTTCTGATTTCACATTTGCCAATACCATGTAATAGCAACTGAAATGACTTCCTGGGAACGTCTTATGCTAAACTGATGAAACACCATTATAAAACATCGTATTTTTGTTTCAGCATCTATAGCACAAGCTTTTCTATAAAGAATTTAGATTAAGATGAGAATCTCACACAGATGCATACTAGTTTATTCCCTTTAAAATATTCCTAGCATAAATCACAGATATCTCAGCCAAACTTGAGAACTCACCCTCCTAAACAAACTCTATCCCGTATCTGATATGAAGAGTTCAGGAATGAATATAGCATTATACTTACTACCTAACCATGCAACATCTTGTAATTTTCCCTCCATGTTCTTGGAAACATAGATAATCTAATTAACTGCTGATCATCGAAGTGTAATTTTTATCATTGAAACCTGCTGCTGCGCTTTTCTTTCCCCCTAGAGCTTCAGATATGGCAGAAATCAGTATTTGAAGTAATCTGGGGAGATTTCTTTTAGATAACTTTGTCTTGGAAGATGACAAAGGATAAAAAGCTATTTTTCAGAAGTAACATGATTCAGAAATCACAAAAATTGTAAGACTCACTGAAATCTATAGCAGAAACCTGCAATGAAGGTTATTTTTTTAACTAAGTAACGTGGCTACACTTTTGCTTGTGTCTGTCTAGTTCAGCTCAGACAGGGTAATCTCAGGTCTGCCTGCACACATTTACAAGTCTGTCCGTTACAAATCAACAAGGATGCCCTGGGCTCCACTCCTTTGCCTACACATGGCTACCCAGTGCCCTGGGGTAGCCTTCACGGCATCTGGTTGTGCTCCAGGACACAGGTCTCCTGCAAACTCTGTATATTAGCTGCCCTCCCTGTGTGGACGGACGCTCCACTGCATCTCAGATGGCACTCTTGAATCAAGCCCCTGAACTAAATATTCCAGATAACTAAAAATAAAAATTACAATGAATATCTACCAGTTTGGGATGGCTCAGGCACTGGCTTGTATCAATTCTCCAAGTGCACTTAGAGTCTGAATTTTAGATGAACCTTATTACGTGCAATTATAAAATGTGAATTTGAAAGCATTTTTTGCAAAAAGTTTCCTTCAGGAAGGGAAATGTGTTACAGCTTCCATCGTTTTACTTTCTATTTTACTTCTGAGTGCTTCCAGCAGAGTAACAATATTCCATGATAAATACCAGGCTAATACTAAGTATACAGCGTTTAATCTTATACAACATTTTTTGGAGAGTTTATGCCTTAGCTGAATGTTACATATAAATTGTGTCTTTTGTGTATTATATCTGATCTGTAGAAAGGGTGGAAGATAATTACAAAACATATTTTTGAACTAACTGCACTATGATCAATGTTCAAAAACTTTCATCTTAACACAGATGTTCCCCACTTGCTCCAAAAAGTAAACAAGGATGTGAGAAACCATTCTTTTGGTCCAAATGATCTCCTTCTGCATCTTATACAGACACTGGATGTGAGAAACCATTCTTTTGGTCCAAATGATCTCCTTCGGCATCTTATATAGACACTATCACCTCTGCCTATATGGATCTGGCCACCTCTACTAGAAGCTTATAATCCAGACACATCCGTGGAGAAGTCTAGCATGTTTGTATTACAGAGATTAGTTCTGGTCATTGAAAAAAGAGAGAACAGTTTTAGAGTACAAGATATAAGTGGTCCCCTATGGGTATTAGAGAATGGTAAGGAATAGGCTGAAAAATAGCATTTGCTAATTTCCAAAGGAGTATTAAAGATAAACTTTCCTCCTTCCTCCCTTAGGTGTTTCTGAAATGGCAATTTCTTTCTATTTCCAAGCAAAGAAAGTTCCAAAAATGTTTTCTCACGTAACTTCTCGCTTAAATTGTTAAGAAAACGTTTAAATACTTCTTCTCTACAACTCCCAGGGTATTATTTCTCCTTCCTTATGTACAGCTGTGTTGCAAAGCTTGATCTTCAGTGCTTAAATGTGGAAAGGTTGATAAGTTACACTAGAAGTAGCATCTGGGGAAGCTGCATATCTGGAGAGTTTATTTGAAAAGAATTTGTAAAAATGCAATAAAGAGAAAGATTAATTGCCAAAATTAGATTGGCACATCTAAGGATTTTAAATGCCAAGCTTACAGCATAATGGACTGATTAGCTACGTCTAAATTCATTACAGAAAAAAATTACAGTTAATGCTGGTGCTCTTCAAAACTATGCAAAGATGAAAAGTGCAGCAAAAGTTTGAATGCACAGACTTCAGCTTTAGGATATTCTTTTAAAATGTGCAGCACATTCAGTATTATGAAGTACTGGGCATGTTCAGACAACGCTTTGCTAGGAGGGTGGCAGAATATTCTCTTCAGTTTGACTTCAGGGCACTGTTCTTGGTTTAAGCTTACCTTTTCCCCCAGTGGCTGCAGAGCTCAACTTTGCTTCACTGGGAACATACTCACTGCCAAGCAGGGAGTTATTCTTCCCTGCTGTTGCAAAAGATTCCTCAGTTTCTGTTCAGTCCTGGTATAAAGGCTGCTAAGTATCACAGTGAAGTTTGTTCTCCAAACACTTCAACCAAAATACTGCTTCAGTCACTACCTTGGGAATCGGAAAAAAATGAGGTGGTCAGTGCTCTGATTTGAATTCAGTAATGCAAAATGCTGTAGGAGATTTAAGGCCCTCTCCTTCCCCAGATATCTGCCCATCACTTCTCTCTGAAATTACAACCCTAAAACAGAGTCAGTCAAAGCTGAAATGTCCATTCTCAGCTCCTCCTCAGCCTACCAAGGATCTTAGCACAAACCCATCTTTACCACTGCTGAAAATTAATATCCTGGACTGTGAACTGAGCATGTGTGGATACATGCAGGTAGGATTACTGGCACATATTCTCCGCCAGCTCCTCAACAGTGATAGATCCATGGGAGGTGTGTAATGGACACCTGAGGTCAGAGTAACTGTGACTGAGAGCAGGGCAGCAAGGTTTGCTGAGTCTTCTAGACGGTTCCCACACTGCCAGCTCTCACAGGCAGTTCTCCAGGCATGGAGAGAGATGCATATGCAAAAGGCCGATGTACCAATTTTTACCTAGATTATCCATCTGGCCTTAAATCACAAGTTATCACACCCAAAACTGCTCATGGGAAAAAAAGCAGAATATACTGTTTCAGTTTGACTCCTGTATTGTGTGTGGGTCCATTCCTAGCTCTGCTGCAAAAACCCCTTAGAGTTAAAGGGAACAATAATAGAAATTCCATGCTTAGATGTGCTACGGATTCATTTCAGTGACATCATTTATCTGTTTGGCTTCGCCAAAGGGAAGACGTTCATGTTATGGGATGCAAAACCAGCATCAAGAATGAAGTAGGTTAGAAAGATCTAAGTTTTCAAAAGAACATGCCATACGTGGACCCTCACGTATGCTCATTTCTTGAGTACTGGTGTCGAATATTTGTAACCAAAACTTTCTTAGCTAATGAGTTACAACCTTGAAAAGTACTTAGAAAATGAAAACATATTTCAGCCGTTAAAAAGAAAGGCCATGTTAAAATAAGCTCATCTTATTGTCTGGAATGGCATAAGGAGAATTTAAGGAGATTTCATGCAGATTCAATAGTAAAAAGACATGCCAGATAAAATGAATTACCTAGTCTTGTTTACTCTCTAGAAGACAAAAAGATGAACATGCTTTATGTATGTCAAGTTACAGAAATCCGATAAATCCATAGTTAAAGTAAAGTTCTTGTAACTTTATACTTTCAGCAGCCTTCTGGAAAATGCATTTTAACATTAAATTTTGTTTAACCATAGAATATCTTGCTATGTAAAAAAACAAGTCAAAGCTGTAAAGAAATACAGTGAATTACAAACATAACCACATGTAACTACTTTACCTAAATCTTGGAAATGCCTGCAAGGAACTCTATGAATAAAATATATAAAATATTTGAGCTAACTTAGGAATGAACTGAAGGGGACATCCAACAGGGATGAATTCTATTTCTGCTTCAGGCTTTGGCTATGGATACTATAAATAACAGGTATTAAAGAAAGCTGGAGTGGGGAACCTCTTTTTACCAGCCTTTTCTGTTCTAAGTTGATTTTGCTATTTTCTCTCATTGTCTCTTTTACTGTTTCATACCCTTTTCTGCTCACTTACATCCACGTAGACAAGCTTGGACATTTGCCAGCAATAAGAGCAAGTGAACAGATGAGAGAATGAAAAGGAAAGCTGGTCGGGGATTAACAGGTGGCACGATTCTACTTGCTATTTCTAAAAGATTCACCTAAATACCAACCTGGAAACAAGAAATCTCATGTGATTTTCAATTCTTGCTCTCTAGAAGTAGTAATTAAAAAATGGTGTATATTACCTCAAAGGAACTCTATTAGAAAATGTTATGAAATCAGCCAATTATAAAATGTAGTAGAGGATGAGGAAGTGGTGAATTTACTTCAGATCTTTTTTCTTCGCATAAATTTTCAGCATTTGGAGAAGTTCTTCAACATAAGAATAGCCATCGTCGATGACACCACAGCTTTGTCCAAAATTCTTTTTTTTTAATCCTGACCAATCACCAATGCCTAGGAAAAAACATTGGAACATGTGTGTAGGAATATAGGAATAGTTCCCCCAGGACCCTTTTGTAGCCTCCAGCAATTCATGGCTGAGAGATCTCTCACCCCATGCTAATGTTTTATGGTTAATGGACTTCAGTGGGCTTTTTCTTCTATGAATTTACCTAGTTGCCTCCTGAACCCATGTAAGCTCTTAGGATGCACAAAGAATTCTACAGCTCAGTGAGGTCCTGCATGAAGAAACATCTCCCTTTTTGTTTTGGTTTTTGTTTGTTTGTTTTAGTTTTTGTTGTTGTTCTTGTTTGAATCTGTACCTATTAACTCAGGTCAATTTACCTACAAGGTTTAGATGCCTAAAATTAAAGCAAGCGGAGTATTCCACTGAAGGCCATTAAAGGCATCTCTATTGACTGTATAATGAACTTACTTCAGAAAAACTGCTCCATTTTTCTTTTTCAGGCTCATAGTTTTATGTGCCTAAAACTAAGATACAAGCTACTTATGTCAAGGAGCCAGAGTTACAGAAAGAAAAATTTATCACTTGTGTGTAATGTTCTGGACCCTGTTAGAGCTGAGACTGTGGTTCCTGTGTGCTACACACTTTCTATGTGTACTATAAGAAAAAGAAATGCCTGTACTGATGATATACAATGGCTAAGCAGCCAAGGTATCCTAAAGAACAGCAGATTACAGAAGAATGTGTATGTTGAACACAACATTCTGGGCTCAAGAAAAGCCAGAACTAATGCAGTGAAAGCATCAGGTCTGGTTTTGGGAGACAACACACATATGGGAATTCCTGGGAAGCCTGAGTTGCTGTTAAATTTAATCTCCTTTTTTGTCTTTAGTTTCCTTAAAACTCTCTGGGGAAGGGACTTTCTCAAAGTGTCTCTTCACACTTAGGGCAATGGAGAATTCATTGGAACTAGGGCTCTTGATACTTAATAGGATTAAGAAGCAGTAACAGAAGACAGGGTAGTGGCAACTAGAGACATTCACGGAAAGACTTCAGAAAGACATATGTTTATATTGTCAGTGTGACTTTAAAGAGAGAGAGAGAGAGGGAGAAGCACAGAAGAGACATGTCTGTTCCTCACCTCTTCTTTTTGCTGTTCTTTGAGTTTTTGGCAAGTATTCTGGATGTGGACTCCAGATAGAGGAAAGGATATTGAATTTTTTCCATACTAAGGAAAACATAGAAGGGAAAATTGGTATAGTTCTTCAAGACTGATGGGAAAATGGAGAAGATCAAGAATGCTGTTAAATTATAATATAGAGCTTGCTGAATATAGACAATGAGATGGAAAATACTAACAGTCTAGTTTGGCTTTAATGAAGGATAACATTTTCCATTACAGGAAATGTAAAGCACTGGAAAACATTTTGAAGAACTATCAATTAAAGTATTGGGTTTAGTGGGAAATATTCCTGCTCTAATTTTATTCATGATACAATCTCATAACTATGGGAACATAAGTTCTCTTTAAAGTTTTGGCCTTTCTTCAGCTTATTTTCTTTTACTTTTTATCCTTTTATAATATATTAACTTTTTGTTTGCTTTGAAGAGAAAAACACACTCCTTTCTGCGTTTCCATTGCCCTCCCAATTCTTTTCCTCTACTGAGATATTTGAGTCGAATATCATCCTCTGTCTTACCCTCCATTTTCTGCTCTCTCTGCTTTCTTCTTAGGCAGTATCAGAGCCTGCTTTCTCAGGTCATACAGCCGAACAGCTTTCTTAAACCCAATATTCTCAAATCAGCACCTAAACTGCCATTCCTGTTGCCTTTAACACTCCTGAGAGTATGCTCCTATTTCCATTGCCCTGCCCTTCATCATTTCTCTCCTGATTCTCCAGTTTATCTTAATCTACTGTCCTGATGTTTCCCTCCCTGGATGCAAAGATTATAGTGATCAAATACCAATAAGCACCTTCCATCCTTAACTTGCTAGTGCTGATAGAATATAAGTTTCTTTCCCACACACAAACTCCTCTGCAGAGATTCTTCAAGCTATGCTCAAACAATCTTGCTTTAGGCACCTACCTAGGTATCTAATTTAAATGTATATTTAAATATATACATATTGGATATACATATACATAATCTATATATACAGGATTGAGGTTCTTAAACTTGGCCACATCTCATCTCAAGGTCTGAACGCAGTTTTACTATTGCAACTGCTTCTTCTGTTTCCATCTTGATTGTCTCCCTATCCCTAAAGCTGGCTAAAGCTATCTCTTTTTCCATAGTGTTGCTAGTATGGGAGGCCTTCACAGAACCTGGTGAAAACAGAATTCTTCAGTTTGCCACCAAAACCCTACTTCTTCCTTTCTAATTTATTTTTGGCAACTATGCTCTCTTCTCAAGTCTTGGGTTTGTTTTTTCTGCCATCTCATCATTGTCTGTGCTGGTCAGTTCTCTAGTCCTGAAGTTAATTTCTTTCTACAGCCTGAAAACTACTTTCAGCTGTGGCAGATTCTCTTTCTCTGGGCTTCTCAAAATGGATACATACTGCCTTCTGTGCATCATCTCCTAAGAAATGAGCCATATCTTAAGCTATTATACAAACATGGCGTTCCTGTTAGAGCTGCAACTATTTGGTAGGAAAGCTAAGTTTATGAAGAAACGTGCTTTCCAAAGAAACAGTTATTAAAGAAAACACAAAGATTATTGTTTGTCCCAAATGGATAAATTTGGATCAGATATACTGCTTTTATTCCAATTCAGCTACCAAATTCAGCTATTTTTTGTAAGTATACACCTGGTCAAATGAGATTTCTTGTGATGAATCTCAACTCCTGTGATGCATTACTTCCCAAATCAAAAGGGAGACTGTGTACCATTGAAGATGCATGTTGAGCTGAACATTAGATAAAAAGAATACTGAAACCACCCAAACTATAACACCGAGAAATGTGGCAGCAGTTCAAATTCCTTACTTCCTCTCAAACTCAAACTTATCCAAAGAGGAAGATGAGAGGAAGATGACTAAAACAGATTACCAAAGCTGCTCCGATTCCTGTCACTTTTGATGAGACTGCATATACAGATCTCTTAGCAAAAGCTGATATTTTGGTCCTCTTGAGAGACAGTAACTTACAATTAGGTTATTCAGATCAAGTTCTCACTATCAAAACAGGTGACAGTGTTGTTAATGGGGATGTAAGGTTCACACAGTGTACTCTATATACCAGCCATGAAAAATACGGAACGTCTTCTTGTGCGGCTGAAAGCTATACAAGTGGCTCTGCCTGTGGCTCTAACATTGGACTGGATTTCTATTCCCAGCTCTAACCAGTGATATCTATGAGATTCTGGAAAACTTTTTAGTTCTGCTTTGTTCCAATTTCATTATTTGAGGGAAGGGGGAATATTTTCTGTCTCACTGCAAAACTTAGAGTTGTCTGCAGTGAACAGAAGACAACTATGCCTTGAGTTAGTGCAAATTGTGCCAGTAGTTCCATGTGACACAGTGACTATGTGCCTGGAAGCAATCTGACCGCCAGTAGTTCCATGTGACACAGTGACTAGTCCTATGTGCCTGGAAGCAATCTGACCACTATCACATGGCAATGTGCCAGAATCTGGGCACAGAATCTAACTGTTGCCCGCTGTTGTTAGCCCACTAACAATAGCGATGACTAGCTTGGATTACACCTTTCAATTGCATAGGCATTGCACTGCACAGTATTGCATTATCAGCATGCATGGGGCTATATAAGCCACCTCTGAAGCTGTGATGCAAATTTGGTCTTAATCTATTAAAGGCAAGATCCAAAGCCCATGCAAGGCAGTGGATATAACAGACCCTGTATATCTGAGAAAAAAACTTAGCTGAAAGATTACTGTTACTTCTAGCCTTATCATTATTATTTCTTTTAAAAGACAAACTTACACAGACTCAGTGGGACCAAAAGGTAGTTCTCTCAGATCAGAATTACCTCCCCTTGGTACTCACACAGCACCCTGTTGAGCATTGGTCACAAGATGAAAAATAAACTTCCAGTTGCCTGTCAGATTCAAATATACTTTAGATAAGACTCCAAACTGCCTGAACTTTGCTCATGAAGAACAGAGGAATGTTGTCATCCTGTTGTGAACACAGTTAAATATCAACAAAAAGTCACAGTTAAAAGATCAGCAATTACTGTTTTTTCTTTGTAAGGAAGGCATTTTTTGCACAAGCAGAAGCTTGGTTAGACTGACATATTCATTTTGAAAGAGACACAAAGTTTCAATTTGACTAAATTAAACACTGTAGAGAGTGCTTGCTTCTTCTCCTTAGCAGTCACAAAAGTGCACAAGTATTTCAAGCAGCTTGACATCTGTATTACATAAGCAGAGAGCAATTCAACTGCTTGGAGAGTATAAAAAACAACTTTGACCTTACACTGGAGGCACACTTCAAAAGACTGATTATTCATACGAGGAGAATTGCTCAATAATCATGGCTTGAAAATATTCTCAGGAGGAAAATAGATAAATTGTTCCAAGGCAATAATATAATTAGGATATGGCAAACTTAATCATTATTTTTTTTTTATTCCTAGAGCTTCTTCTTTTTTTAAAAAATAAGTGTTTGATCTGGTGGCATTTCAAATATTTTATTTATATTTCACAATGGAGCTTCTCTTGTTTATTCAGAGTCTTTGTTAAGTAGCTTGAATCTAGTTCTTCAGGAGGGTTGAGAGCTGTAAGCTCTCTAGCTGCTAATAAAAGAGTGCAAAGCAACGTTGCCTCCTGTTAAAATAGGTCAGAACCCATGCACTTGTAGCATTAAGGAAGCTTCCTGTAGGAGGTAAATCGTGCCACTGTGTCCGTAAGAAAAATCTGTTACTATACAAATTTTCAAAATATTCTGCATATAATGCTAAAAAATATAGAATTATGGATTTATTTTAAAGTAACATTTTCTGTCTGAAGGAGGAGGCCTAGTCATCTGGTTAAGGGGCTGTGTGGAAATTCAGGAAATCTGGGTTCAATTCACAGCCCTGC